AAACAACTCAGAGTTGATTAAACCAACTCTTTTCAGCTGTTCTGAAACCGAAAACTCCGAGTTTTCCAACTCTGAGTAAGTCAACTCAGAGTTCAGGTTTGAACTCTGAGTTTGTTAAACCGCCTTCTTGAAATTGGCCCCAGCTCTTATACATTAAGATTTTTATTGTTTCTTTTTTTTGACAACCACATGTGACAGTAGTTGAATCATTTTATTTGCCCAAAATCACAAGTCTCCATTACAGCCTGTAGAACACAAAACACCCTCAATCATTAGACTGTCAGTCTGGGAAACGAAAAACCCTGGAAGAGCCATGAAGGAAGAATCCCCCTTCCAGGCGACAGACACAGCACAGTGTGGAGTAGCAGCAGTGCTGGTAGTAAAGATTCTCATGGAGAAGTTGTACCTGAAAGGCTCCCTCTGATATGCTGTGCAGCTGGTTGTTGGCCAGGATGAGATGCCTCAGGTTCACTAGGCCCTGGAAGTGGGAGTCGTCCAGGGTGGTGAGGCGGTTGCTGTCCAGGTGGAGAGCGTGGAGGTCCTGGAGGTCAGCAAAGGTATACGGCCTGATCTGGCTGATGGTGTTTCTGCTGAGGGTCAGGTGGATCTGGATGTGCACAAAAATGAAATGAGATTACTGTTACAAAACACATCGCGTAGCATTTCACCCAAAGTTCTGGATCTTTGTCACTCTCGTACTGAGTAAGTTGCCACCTCTGTTACACATTTCCTGTTGTTTTTAGTTATTGAGGCTGATTTAACTTGAAAACAGTGATAATTAACTTAGGTTTCACTTTTGTCAAACTCTCCACCATGTCTTGGAATGACAGTCTCCCTGCCTCCTGTGCAGGGAGATCAAAGGTCGGGGCTAGCTGTGAGCCATCAAGGGATTTAGTGGACTTCAGCAGGAGATTCAACTGTGAGGTTGCATGAGGGCTTTAAAATACCCCGTCACTGTGCACCCCCTCTTCATTAATAATCAGTAGTTAATGCTAGAGTACTGTGAGTGGAATCACAGATAAAGTAGTTAAAAGATCAGCAGTATATCAGCTCTTAAATACTTACACTTTACATGGAATACCACAAGTGTGAAGATGCAGAAATATCTTCTATGAACACCCCAGAAAAGGTCAGTCAGCTCCCACATATTTATAAACCTGCCCTGGAGACACCATGATCAGCGAAGACACCTGTGGAGCTCTGTCACACTCACCACCATCATGTTTTAAACCTCATTTTCCACATTTCCTTGTGTGTGAGCAAACATCTGTGCTGTTGCGATCACCCTGGAGAAGAAATGTATCTGTGATACTGAAGAAAGCCTCCAGCTGTGGCCAAGCGGCAGCTGAGAAATAAAGCCAAAGTGCTAATGTCAAAGCCTGCAGTTCCTAGAACGGCCACCTGAGACTCCAAAAGGAGTCAATCCCCATAGACTCCCATGTTAAATGTCCGACTTTACGGCAGAAATGAAGAATGTTTACAGCCTGGTACAGAAACTATTTTGGTCTCTCTAGCTAATTTCCCCATACATGACAACTGTAAGGATGATGAATTTTTATACAACTCGCCAGTTTAAATTATTTTGAGACTAAAATCTATGCATTGATTTAGGGCATGGTCGCTTTGAGTGACAAGCTGGAGGTTCCCACCTTAGGTGGCTGGCTGCTAACTGTCTAGTGAGCTCCACTCACATGCCGCCTCTTTGTCCATTTTTGGATTAGTCGTAGGAGGTGGAGTGAAGCGCTACCCATATGGAGGCGGCCAGACTTGAGCTTCAAAACCATTCTTCAGAAAACCAGTGGGTGACGTCACAGTGGGTTTGTCCACCTTTTACATACAGTCAGTGGCTGTGACAAGCTTTGTATTTGGCTTATAAATATGAAGTTGGTATTTTGAAGCCTTGTCACCTCCATTACATGATTTTGATAGAAGTAATTGATCATCCGAAGGATATCAGAGATTTCACCTCAGTCAGTGTGTGACGCTGGAAGGAGCAGATGTTCCTTATGATTCACTGGGACGTTCACACAGACACTGTCACAACATCAACCTTGTTCAGTTTATTCTAGAGGTTATTTTGAACTCAAGTGATGCAATTTACTTTTTGTGTACCCTCTTCACTCAGCCTCCTTCATGTCCTTATATTTCAAATAGTGATTCCTCACATTTCCCAGAATGCCTTGATAGTCCTTAGGTAACAGCTGTTTACCTTTTGCTTACAAATACTGACTACAGGTGGAGATAAAAGCATAACTGCAGGAAAACTGTCAAAACAAACATTCAAAATGGACTGACTGCAGTTCTTAGTGACAACACAATGTGTTAAACAGGCTTTTTGTGTCACTACCACACAGTATCTGTGGCTACGGCCTCCTGAACACTGCTTTTGTCAGTCACTTTAAGTTTAAGAGGTGAAAAATCTTGGACCAAGGTTAAAAAATGTTTTGATATGCAGCTTGTGGGAACAGTTATTCACATTTTAATGAGCTCATTAGCTTAAGCTGCATCTTCCATTACAGAGCTCTCACAGCCAGCCAATGGCCCAACAGTAATTCAAAGTAGAGAAAAGGACCATCTGACCAAACTTCAGCCACAGCAGCTTTAAACAATGTGTTTCCACTGGAAGATTCTATAAAACCCTAAAATGTGTTCAAAGACAACTGTTTGAAATGTTCAATGGCAACGTGCTTTCTCACTTTGCACACAGCTCATGGCACAGGTTCAAATCAAACTAAACAGCTGCACAGATGGCTCTTTAACAAACTACCAATCAAAGCAAACATGACTGTAAAGGTGCTTAGAAAAGTGGGCTCTGACCAGGCTGGTCATGTTGGCAAAGTCACGGTGCCTCAGCGTTGTGATGAAGTTGTCCATCAGCCTGAGCTCAGCCGTCTGACGGTCGATGTTGGGCGGGACGAAGAGCAGGCCTGTCTTGGCGCACAGCACCGTGTAGGACGGCAGCAGGTTCTGACAGGTGCAGCGCTTCGGACACAGCATGGACGAGGAGCAGGTGGGGAGGGAGGACAGGAAGACAAAGAAGAGGAGCAGGAGCACAGGGCAGACCAGTGAAGAGAAGGCATCCATGGCTAATCTACGGTAAGAGACAACAGAGAAACGAAAGCGGAGGTCAGTCCACGTAACTTCACAAACGTCAATGCTCCAACAAAATTATTGTTCTGATTTGATTTAAAAATTTTGATGTTCAGCACAGATTGTCATCCTCCTCTCACAACCGCTGCTGTACAGCAATGAAGATTATTCTTCATAGTGACACAGAATGTGAGATAACAACCCCAGAAAACATGAAACTATTGTGTAGATCTTCTTCTACTTCCTCCCAGCTTATAGAAAACATGGAAATCCTTCCTGTAATCTTTTCCAAACTTTGCAGCTGTGTGGAGAGCACAGGGTTTGCAGATAATGTATTCTAATAAATGCTTCATAAGAAAGTGGATGGGGTGATAGATAAGGAGAGGAAACAGGGGGAGGAAGAGCAAGGGGAGGCAGCAAGAGAGAGAGAAAAAGGAGGAGGACCAGAATTTGTTAAAGTTGTTAGTGCAGGCTGTGTTTTTTTTCTACTGAGTGAAAGTGAAAGTAAACAGTACTTATATCATCAATTACACTGGCTGCACTGCCATGATTACAGTCTGAAGAGAACATTAAGGAACACAAATGATGCTCTGTGTGGCTATCTGTCTCACCTCATAAATTCCATAGATGTTTCTGTGAACATAAAAATGAGACTAAACCAACTTTTCCAGCCAAGGCAATAAAGGAATACATTTACATTAATATTGATTTCTCTCCTTTCGGTTTGTACGTTCAGCTCAGTGGAGACCTGAATAAATTCATATGAGGAGAAAAGGGAAGCAACACATGCAGGAATGACACATGCACGCATATGGACTCACATGCACACACAGTGAAAAGTTCCTCTGAGTTAGATGTTGAGTGACTGGAGGAAGGTCGATTGCAAATAACAGCGGAAAGAGACACGCTCTTTTATTTACGGTGCTGAAATATTCAGACTGCGCCTCAACTGCAGCACGGAATACAGAACAGGAAGTGTGCACGTGTCCTGATAATGGGGTAGAGAGCAGGAGATGGAGCTAAATGGGAGGAAGTAATGGGGGAGTCGTAATGGAATGAGATAAACTCAGTGGAAATGATCAGAAGAATTCAAAACCCAACTGAGATCACACTCAAATCTCAGCAGGTAATTGAAGAGTCTGCACGTGACTGGAACCTGAGCTTCAAAGACATTCAGGGAAGACAACTGGAATTTACAGATTCATCTCTTGAATGAGAATAGTTCAGACCTCACAAAAGTCCAGTCAGAGCAGACGTGGAGAGAGTTTTACTGGTCATCACTGTGAGGCTTTAACTAGTATTTATATAGTGAGTAACAGTCATTTTTAGCATTGTGCCTCAATTGTCATCATGTGAATGATTAACAGTCAGCACTTTAGTTATCTATTTGTCAGGTCGTTGAATTTTGATACCCAACAACTGGCTCTCTAGTGAAACCAGAAAGCTTGTTGTAAACCTGAAAATCTTGATTAATCATTGTAGGAACTGTTACTACTTTAAGTTCACAACATGTGGTTCTTCATACACTAGGCATGAACGGATTACCCAAAGGGTACCAGGTGCAGAGGTCAGGGGGCCTGGACCAGAGCCTCAGCGTGAAATGATAACTAACATTTCTTGTTGGAAAGTCACAGAGCTGAGTTAAAAAAAAAAAAAAAACTACAAGTGGAAACGACTACAAAACAACTCTAAGATGTACAAAATGAAAGTGATGCACAACCATCCCAAAGAGATCAAAACAACAATCAAAAAGAGATGCAAACTACCATAAAGAGACACAGAACAACAACAAAGACGGTGATACACTGTGGAGGAAGGGAGGGGCCCTGTTACCTGTCGGTGCCCAGGGCCCTATTTTTTTTTGTAATCCGTCCATGACAGTAGAGATGTGTGATGTGTGATTTGAGCATCTTTGGGAGTCGATTCAGATTGTTACATTTACATAAGTTTAAAGAGACTGAACCCTGGTGTGTACCACAATCATCTCCACTAGAGGCTACCACCACAGTAATGGATCAGTGAAAGTAAATATTCACGTCTATAAGATGATGTAGCAGCAGACTTCAGGTGCAACGTGATGCCGAGTCTCTGAGGAGAGCTGCTGCTCTGAGAACACACTGAATCTGTTTAGTCAGGCCAGCTCAGCATGAGCAAAATGCAAAGCAGCTCTTTTTCAGACCACAAGCACTTCTCCATCTCTGTCGCCCTCTCCTCTCTCCTTCATCACTCCCTTCTTGGCAGATTGTGCTTCCCATTTCTATTGCATCACTCCGTTTATCCATCCCACCACAGATCTTTCTGCCTGCATCCTCCCATCATCCCTCTCTTTCTCCATAACAGCCTCTCTTTTTCTTTTCAGTTGTTTCCTGTCACACCACTCCCTCTTCCACTGCACCAGACATAACTTCCTCTTTCCTCCCATCATTCGTTTCCACTGCCTGAATCACTGCCTCTATCCATCCCTCTCTATCTGCTCCTCCATTCCTGTGCCTGTAAGATCATTTTTAATCCCTGTATGTCTCCTGAAATTCCTCTTTTAGCTAAACACACAGAGGCACTAATCAGCATTTCCATTCACACTGTGAGCTCAGCCTCTGCTCTGTTCAGTCTGACTGCACCAGCTTCTATGAACATGGCCCCACAAACATTTATGACCGTAACAGATTCTCCTTCACAGGGTCGAACAGGGCTTCTCACACTGGGCAAAGATGGAGCTATGTTAACTACCTTATATACTTATATTGTGAAGTACTTCACATACTGCTGGGTACCTGGTGAATTTCCCACCATGTCAGAAATGAAGACATGCATTAATGCAGCTACAGAGGCCGTTTCACATATACTTACAAATATAGCAACTCTTAAATCAACGCATTTCTTTGACCGGCATGAAGAATGTTCACTGCTGCAGCTCTGGCACACAGAGCAGAGCAGCAATACAAAGCCATTAAAGAAGTGACGCCTGGAGCCGAGAGCGGGACAAGTGGAGCTACATGAGCAGGGAGAGAAGGTCAACAAACAGGAGGATGTTTACTGGAAGTTTAGGCAGAGACAACACATCTGTCTGTGTCCCTCACTGTCTGTCACACACACAGAAAAGCAGTCATACACACACAAGCACCAAAAACACAATAATAAGCTGGTAATCCCACCTACAGAGAGCCAATTATTTCAGATGACATGTCAGTTTGTAGCTCAACACAAACAACAACAAGGATCAGGCAGAGGAAAGGACGTGAAATTAGCAGAGAGATGGTGAGACAGTAAGAGGAAGGGAGGCAAGTAAGAACATGGGGTGAGGACAAAAAGATAAGGGACTGAAAGGCTGAGGAAATGCAGATGACAGAAGGAGTGAAGAGACAGGTTCTAGGGAGAGAGCTGGAAGCAAAAAGATCAGATCAATCTAGTGGCAGAGAGGAGGAAGAAAAAGACAAGGAAGGAGAAGAAGGTTGATGAAAAGCTGATCAGGGAAGGATGAGAGACAAGGGAAGGCAGGATGTTACACTTGGCAGCCAGCTGGTGGAGATGTTGTGCTGCACCATTAGAAATGTGCACCTACAAACACACATGAGCAAAGCTGATGGAGAAGGGAAGCCACTAAAGCCAGCTGTACACTGCTGGTACAGGAACAGAGACTGAAAACCAGAGGGAACAGACTGACAGAGGCAGAAGGAGGAGGGCTGAAAGAGACACAGCAGGACTGGTCTGAGCTCAGTGCGGCTCTAGCTGCTGTAGTTTTACTCTCACCATCACATGCTGAAACTGTATATGCATATGTGGCATGTGGCACAGTAAAGCCACCATGTCTCCTAGAACTCACATTTACATTAAACCAGTCTAGCCAATACAAAGTGGGACAAATGTGATGCTGCCAAAATGCTGCGGATGCTTTATTCATGCCGTGTCCTCTTATGTGACATTATGTCATGTTGTGTTAATGTTATTTTACAGAGCAATCATGATATTTCTCACTGAACCAAACTGTTGTGCCAGAGCCTGATGTCTGTCTGTGGCACAGTCAGCACTCGTTTAATGCTGCTGGAAAGATGCATTTCAAATGGGAGGAAAATCTATAATAACTGACACCCACAGGGCGGAATTCATTCATACTAATACAGACTGGGTGTTACCATTCAGACCAATGACACGGCGAGACGCCTGCAGCCAGAAGGCTGCTGGGATATCTGCTGTACTCTGGAATCAATGTATGTAGTGATTTAGGTAATCTGCTATTAATATGAGCCTCATTAGTTTCTGCTAATAAAGTTGTTACTCTCCCTGAGGCACATGGATGAAGTAGGTAAAAGAACAACAAGCTAGAAAAAGAGGTGACTATTAAGTGAAACTAGCAAGAACACACACAAAAAAATAGACAGTCAAGTGTTTATTGTACTGGTCAACTATACCATAGAAACACTGGTGTATATAAAGACTAATTTAACATCACTCACCTCTTGTTTCAGTTTAAAATCATATGGGACTTGACTAAAGTAATCATTTCAAAATACTTCACACAGAAAAATGAATAACTAGAATAAATTAAGGAGATGTTGCTAAAGAAATACAGTTAAAAGAATTAGCCAGCTGGCTAACACTGGCACCTTTACAAAAAGGCTGATTCTTCAGTTAAGGCCAAAAAGACAACAAACTCACTGCAGAAGGAATTATAAATAGTAAAGTAATAAAAACTGCCAATACATGGTCACATCTGGATCAATAATCATATTTAGTGTCAGCTAGTGCAGGAACAGCTTCAGCAAATGGACCAGAAATAACAGTGCGTTTGAAACAATGAGAGTGAAATTGGTGACCGCACCTCGTCCACTGCGCCACATGTGCTATATAAAGCAGAGCCCTTGTATCTGTGGGCTGTTGACTGAGCTAGAGCAGCCTTTCAACACCGGCCTGCTCCTGGCGGACAGCAGCCAGATCACCTACTGTACTGCCAGCCACCGAGCAGCTCCACAGTCAAACCCAGGCTTTAATAGACTGAAAGAACCT